AGGCTGTGTCATGCTTGGCCACGCAACTGAAGGCCTCCATGTTCACCTGCATCGTCAGAGGTGCTTTGCTTGACGAGGCTTCTATTGTAGGATTCAGTCGTCACAGGCCGATTGGCGAGTGACATATCTAATAGTAGGTTCGTGCGATTCAGGTGCTGTCCACATGTCTCTGCGATGGCTAGTGGTGCTGCGTATGCCAGGTGACTGAATTGCTTGCAGACGTTGGTCGAGATAGTGGCCTGATTGTGGCAATTTTCTTCAGCTATGCCTCTCGGCTGCGAGCAGCTCCACGTCCGGCAGGGCCAGGTGGAAGGACAACCAACGGAGATGGGTCTGTGAGGGTGAAGACCGTGCTTTGCCGAATGCAAGGGAGACGCAGGCAAGCGTCCATTCCCCAAGCCTCCCGTGGCCTCCCGGGCCTCGGGGGATTCCCCGAAATGCCGTCGGGGTGATGAATTAAGGGCAAGATCTTGCATCTTTACCTCCAACTGCAGTTTCGGTTTGCAGAGACAAATGATTTTGACGAGTCCACATATCACGAGAACCCTTCCTTGGCTCTTGCAGACTGTGAGTTTTTGAAGCCCGAATGTTGCAGCTTTGTATCCAAGGTGTTGATCGCAGCCGACACCCTGACATGTTTGATGCGAGGGCTGTACACCGCACGCACACACACACACACACCTTGCCCTTGTTTGATTGTAGGAATGTGTCATCGTGCGTCTCGATTCAGGTCACTGTGATGAACCTTCTTATCGGTGTGCTTTGCGAGGCAGATCCGGCTTTCAGATGGCGGTCGTTTAGTGTTCAGCTATATGATGTATGTTCGGGGGTGTTCTCACATAGAGACTGTCCTGCGGCTCTTCTGCGAGGTTGGAGCTTTTAGCAGTGAAATCCTAGTCTGTGATGAAATCTAGAAGACATGGTTTTCTGTGTTCACAAAACACGTGACCTCTGGGCGTAAGTCTTGTCTTCACCAAACACCTCGGACAGGTCGTGACCCTCGTTGCAGCTGCTGAACGTGAAGAGCTGCTTATTGGTTTCGTTCAGGTCCGTTCTGCTGAAGCCAGACTTGCAGCTGAGCGACATCTTCACCATCACCATCATCATCGTCATCATCATCATCATCATCATCATCATCATCATCATCACTATCATCATCATCATCATCATCACCATCATCATCATCGTTCGCCATTACCATCGTCACCATCTTCATTGTTGTCAGCATCATCATCATCATCATCATCATTATCATCTTCATCTTCATCTTCATCTTCATCTTCTTCATCATCATCATCAGCATCATCATCATCATCACCATCACCATCCCCATCATCACCATCCCCACCATCACCATCACCATCACCATTGCCATCACCCGCATCATCGTCATCATCATCATCATGATCATCACTATCATCATCATCATCATCATCATATCATCAGCATCATCGGCAATATCACATGTTTGTTATCGCTATCCTTCATCACCAGCATCACCAGCATCATCAGCATCGCCATCATCATCATCATCAACAACATCATTATCATCGTCATCATCGTCACCATCACCTGATCATCATCAGCTGCAGCATCGGCATCAACCTCAGTGTCAGGAGCATCATCAGCATCATCAGCATGATCATAATGATGATGATGATGGTGATGATGATGATGATGATGATTATGATTATGATGTTGATGTGATGCTCATTATGATGCTGCTGCTGCTGCTGCTAATGATGACGATGATGATGATGATCATCATCATCCTTATCACAGTCGCTGATGTCGTACTTCCCTCCTCTGCCGCCTCCTCCTCCTCCTCTTCGTCCTCCTTATCATGATGTTTTCGGTTGTTTTGGCTACGGCTGCTACGTTTGTCGGCAGAAAAGCAGGACAAGGCAATGCTAAGTAACCTCATCTGCCTTTCCTGTGTCTGTCGCCGCCTGTATCTCCTCACTTGCCGGCCGCTCTTCCTTGACCCTGCATCTCCTCTTTTGCTCTTCCTGTTTTCTGCTGATGCTGCCCTTCGAATATCGTTTGTTTGTCTTGTCTGCTTTCTCTCCAAGGCAGCTCGATTCGATTGCTAGCGCCCACATCGTGTTTGCTTTATCTTCGCTTTCACCCGCTTGCTTGCCGTCACCTTTGTTTCCCGATGGCTTATAGCCTCGTCGTCCTTTCGCTGCGGTGAGTATTCTTCCCAGCAGAGAGATCGATTGGCAAAGATTGCTGGTGTGAACGGCAGGGCCAGCTTGAGAAGATCGTGGCATCAGTGGATTTGGATGGCAACGGTGGCTCTGAAGCACTGCCTCCGATAATCACACAGTTGCGGTTTTCTCGACCCGGCGAGGATTGATCTCGCACAAGGAGATGAAAGCGATTCTACAGGACAAGGATGCTGTCAGGGCACTCCATTCAGCAGGGCTCTCTGCCACAGCATGGAAGAATGCCCCAGTCTCACTGTCTTTGTGCAAGGTAGGGGTGGATCCAGTAAGCCTGGTCGACCTGGCCGACGTTTTGTTTCCGACCAAAGTAGCAGGCAAGGGATCCCTCATGTCGCATCCATCAGAGTGTCGACTGTGCCGACAGAAGATGGTGATGAGTTTCGGAGCGAGATGACCTTCATCCAGTTCATGCAAGAGCTGTGGCCCGACGGCAGAAAACGTTGATGGGTTCCCAGGAGTAACATTTCTCAGTTGCGGTTCTGCAGCTTGAGAGTCTTCACTGCCAGGGTGTCCGTAGATCGACCTCCAATACGTAGGTTGGACTCCTCTTCTCTCCTCTGGTGCCAGGCTTGCGACACTTGTTGCAAAGCTTGTGATAGCCTAGACACTCAAACTTCAAGCGTCAAGCAGCAGCCCAGCCACCCCCGACCACAGTGCTGTACAGCGACTCTGCAGCAATTGTCCAGTCCAAGCGGAGATTTGCATTTTTTTAACCATCGAGTTGGAGAGCGTGAGCGTGGTTTCCTATGGTACTCTCAAGCGTGCAGGCACGATTCAAGGATCCAAAATCCCAGAAGAAACACAGATCCTCCACGGCTTCTGGCACTTCCCAGAAGAGACCATGATCGTGCGATGTGCCGGAAGCCAAACAATTCCACACACCCTCAAAGTGTGCTCAAACACCACGAACGCTCGGCCGGCAACGTCTTGAAGTACCCCTCGGATCCCGACAGCATAGCAACATGGCATAGCTGCATAACAGAAACTGAGCTAGCCTTTCAAGTTTCAAGGTTCCTTTGTAGGGCCTGGACTCCAGAGTTGAGATGCCTGAGCTATTGCGCCCCGTTCCACAGCTCGGGGGATCCAGCTGCAGCACGGGGACGGCTTCCTTGAGAGCTTGTCTTTTTAACATGGCCACAGCATCGGACAAGAGGATGATCCTTGGAAGTCTCCCTCCTTGGAACCCACACTGCGAAAGCCGCTTTCTGCTATGGGTATGAGATCGGGATTAGATTAGCTCAAAAAGATACATCCTTTTATGAGGAATACTGCGAGTGCGCGTAGCCGGCGACTTTCCATTCTCGGGCCTCATTTCCGCTGGCCGTGCTTTGCCATCCTCTTGCCTCTAGTCGTGTGAGTGCACGTACTGGTAGCCTAGGTGAATCCAACGTGCATACGAAAGGCCCTGTAGATGCTTTGCATACTGCGGGAAGCCAATGCTTCGTGTTCGATTCATTCACGCCTTGGGGTCATCAAAGTCGAGAATAAAAGGAGGCGCCCTCCCCTGATGCCATGAATGATTATGTATGAGGTAACAGTTTCGTGCAAAAGTTGTTTCCACCGGTGGGGTCTCGGTGGCCAAGATGCTGTTGCCAAGTACCACTCTTTTTCAGGCTGGAGCTTCGTGGGAAGAACACAGCGACGGTGCCCGCCTCTGTTGCTGCACGCATCGCTGGAAGCATTTGCTGCGAAGAGGTGAAGGACATGATAACGCTCCGCAAGATCATGAAGGTTCAGCAGGAGGACCTCCTGGAAGCCATTGGAAAGCCCCGTCCCTAAAGCGCTATTCGCGATGATGCTGTGGAGCTGTGAGAAATGCCTGCCAAGGTTGGAGTCTTCAGCTACTTTGTTGCAGTGAGCTACAAGAGTAAGTATGCAACAAGCATGTCAATGTGTGTACTGACTTGCGGTGAACTGCTTCTTTTTGAAGCTTGGGGTGCTTGCTTGTTTGAGTCATGGGTCATATCAGTCTCGACAACAGGAGCCCGAATTCTCAGCAACATGCGCATCTTGAGGTTCTCGGCCCAGCCGACGAGCTGCAACAGACCACAGAGCAAAAGCAGGCGACGCCACGCTGTTGATGTGCCGCAGACCCCAAGCGGAGAGTTGCCTTCAGGGCAGTCGGAGGAATCTGGAGCCAGCAGCTTGGTCTACCCGCGGATGCTCGGAAGGGAGCTTGCGTTTGTTACAACCGTGTTCGTATGCAATACTGGGCATCAGCAATTGTCTCCTAGGTCCCCAGGAAGACCGCAGCTGACCCCAACTCTCTCGCCCCTTTCCTGCATGCTTGTGCGAGACAGTACGTGCCTTTGCATGGCATCGCCCATGGCCTCCCTTTCTTGCTTCGCCGATGTCGGTATTTCACAGCTCTCAGGCAGCAGCCGAGAGTACTGGAGGGGCGGCTGATCGATGAAGAGCTTTCGCAGCTTGACAAGACAACCTGCGTGTTGCCTTGATTGCAGTGGACAGATAAGTGCATTGCTTGCCTCGCCTCGCGTGGAAAGTGACAAGTCCAGGCACAAAATGCTCGAGTTGCATGGCCCTTACACAAGCTTACGGGCAAAGTTGGCAGGTGTTTTCCGTGATGTCTCGTCACATCCTGGTCTGTTCTAAAACGACACATGCAGGAGACGACCAGTTTTGCATAGTCGTCTAGCAGATGTGCCTCTGGTGCCGGATTGCAGTATCCAGGTCGTGGGCAGTTGAGATTTTCTTCGGGCGTGGTCGTCTCTTATTCTGGGTCCCTGTCACGACCCACGATGTGGCAGAGAACAAACAACAGCTGTTTGAAGATGATGTAGCCGTCTTCGGCCGCATATTTAAGCTCGTAAATGACTTTCCTAGTTTCACCGAAGATGTCAGAAGAGCTCACACCAGGAGACCTATTATGCAGCTGCATTTCTACAGATTCTGCTGCAGTGCTTGCGCATGCCAGCCGACTTTACATTATCGAGGCGCCAAATATTGGATGCGACTCTGTCTTCGGTGATCCTCAACGGCAGGACTCCTGGAAAGACTTCACAACGTTGACTGGGAAGAATTAGTAGAAATACTGGGGTCGTAATCAAGCTTTGATTTGTGCCTGCTGAAATTGTGCCGGTGATTGCACGGTGACAAGTGACCAGCATTTTGGTGTTTTTCTGCACTTCTGCCAGGAACATCGACAAGCCAATCGAATCCACAGACCCAGCAGCTCCGACGAAACTTGCAGTGAAGAATTTGAAGTGCAGTGGTCTGCGTCCATGACTTCGGTTGTTCTGCAGTGCACAGGCTGTGGGGGCTCTCCGGGCTACCGCGGCGGAGGCAGTGTGCCAGTTTTGACAGTGGCTTCGAGAGTTCAACCTGAGCAACACTGCTGTGCTGGTACAAATTGCTCAGGAGTCAATGCACAAGCCCGGGAAGCACGAAGATCTCTTCCTGGAAGACGTGCCTGGCATGCAGGAGCCTGGAACAAATAAGAGCGAACTGCCCATAATGTCCACAGAGCACTTTTGTTCTGCTCCGCACTTGTCACCCTTCCTTTCCAGCCTCAGATTTGAGGATCTGGTTTTTGAGTTTCTCTGCATCCGCAGATTGTCTGGCTTGCCTGATCCGCGTTCGTGCTTCAGCATCACAAGCTTATTTCCGCTTCGCTGGTGGCCAGGTGGCCAGCCCTCACTCTGAAAGCGTACGGCTGCTGGCCTCTAATTCACGGGCCGGCGGCAAAGGCCATCCTTAGTTGAATCTCCTGGGGTTCTCATCGAACTCAAGAAACGACAGCGCAAGGATTCTTACCATGTGTCACCGTGACGTCGTGAAGGCTCTTGACAGGAGATGAGGACAACGAGCAAGCATTGCACGTCTTTGCTTTGATAAATCTTGCTCCCGAGAAAGATCATCAACGATCACTCAGTGCACCAAACGCAACGACCCTGTTGAACAGCATGGGTTGGCATATCTCCTGCCCGCATCAGCAGCTGGCTTCGTCAATCATTGATGTTCGATTTTTCTTCTAGCATTCCTGCAGATTGTTGTGAAGGCGCAAAGTGGCGAGCTGAAGTGAGCAAGCTGCGTGCAAGATCGTGCAAGGAACTACTGCTATGAAGGACCAATTCATTCGAATACTGGCGCGAGGAGTGCTTGCCGCTGATTCCAGCACGAGGCTTGGGGCTCACCAAAAGCCAGATTAGCAGGTTCATCGGGCCGCGAAGGCATACCCACCAACCCCACCACATATCCTCCAACCGATGTATGCTTGGCCGGTCAATATCCAGCGGCAATCCCTTCCTGGAGAGCCTCATAATTCCAATCCTATCATCGGTTCGAAGCTATCAACATTTCGAACCCGACAATGTACCCTGCAAGCCGAATACAAAGGCCTTCACCTTGCCGTGGTGCCATGTGGTGCCAGTGTTGCAAGGAATCAGACCAAGGACCACCGGAGACCACCACGACGCGAAACGCCGAAGTACTGCCGCATTTCGGGACCACGAAACTTATGCTTCTCCTCCTCACATAGCGGTCGTTTCCTCCAAGCACTGCTGCGAAGCAAGGCTTTCCAGAGCCAAACGTGGTCCATGTAGAGGAAATACAATGGATGGGGTGGATCAGATTTGCAGAACAAGCTGTAAATAATAGGATTCGGCGCGCGCCGCGCGACCGTACATCAATCAGTTCTCTTCCCTGAAAGCAGGAACAGCACTGCAGCGGTTAAGTGGACATGCAGGCGTTCTTTTGTCTAAACGGCGAGATCGTTGCCCTTGTTCTTCCCGTTTGCTGGTTCGGTATGCTTGGGTTCCATTTTTCTTGTAGATAGCATGGCATGTCGTTTCGGTTTGATTTCCGGAGTGTTACCTAAAATCGGTTTATCGTTTTCAATTCGTTTGCGACTTACTTTCCCCAAACAGTTTGGTAACACTAGGGTACGGGCAAGGAGGTATTGATGAATGCATGTCCAGGAGGCGTGCCCGCCACACCCAACGGTTGCATTTTTGGGGTTGAGGATTTTGGCTGGCTTAATTTCGAATCGGTCTGCTGATGATGCTGCCTGCAGGAAGTCGAACACTATGTGGGGTTCGCGTTCATGTCTCGTGCAGCTCTCTGCCCACTCTCTGTCGCTCTGTTGCGTGGAAGAGAGCCGATGTGCTGGTGAAACCTGGTGAATCCTGCCGGAATTTCAATGTGTAGCAGAGGTGAGTGTACGTGCCGTGGTTTGAGACAGGAGCTGGAAGCACTGGAAAGAGTGCTATCCCAACGGCACCTGCAAGAGTCCTGGCTGCAGCTGGCTGGGGGCTGCGTTGTCTTTGCGGCCTTTGCGTTTGCCGCAAAAGTCCGTTGACTACGCCTGGGCAGGCTGAGAAGCCCAGACAGCAGCTACTGCCTGGGCAGCCCCGTGGCGTCTCATCTGATATCTGAGACTTTGGCGCATACGTGACGAGACGAGCTAAAGACTTGCCGCAACGTGCAGGAGCTGGGTAGAACCAGCTGAGCGCTGATGCATCGCTGTGTGTCAACTGTCACCAGATGTCACCAGGGCCAGCTCTGTAGTTGGTAGAAACCTGCAACTGACTTGGGAGACAAGTTTCGTTGCAGTCAATTCGTGCAACCTTTGTGCAGTCTCACCAGGCTTCGGTGAACGTGCTAGATTTCGGTGGCATAATGTCTCGAATGCACTCACTCTTGCCTGTGCATGGGCAGAACGGAGCATGGTGTCGCGATGACGCGCAACATGCAGCAGCACTTTTACATACCTCTCAGAGGTTTATTTGCTCGTTGTGCAGCTTACGTGTCGCCATGCACGAAGTTGGAAAAAACACTCAGAGAAGGTCCGTCCATCAATGGCTCCGGTGCTGGCGGTACCAGATGGTTAGGAGATCGACCGGAGTTGCCTCTTGTTCACACGGCCGTTCCCGTGAGACTCGAGCGTGCCCACGGCCGTTGATCATATCTCGCCCGGGCACGTGAGTCCGGTGTGCAGATGGGCCAGCTCTGTATCACTAATACACAAGTATGCACAGGCACAACATTACCCCACCGGTGGAGGTCTCAGGCCTGCAGGTGCACCGGTCATGGCAACACTTCGGCATGCGCAGCATGGGGCCAGGCGAACTGACTGCATTTCGTGCATGACATGAACATTGTGGAGCATGTTCTTTTTTTGTTCTCCGGCTTGGACAGACTCTGTGACTCAATTTGGTAGAATGCGGTGTAACCAGACATTCACAGAGCACACGTGATACAAGCCCAAAGTGTCAATCCATACAGTGCAGAAGCAAGCTCGTGACGGTGGTTCGCAGATGCTTGGCCATTGCAGGGCAGGTAAATCCGCGCCATGTTAGATGCAGGCGCCGCTGCAAGTGACAGCCCGGCCCCGGATGTGGATGTGCAATTGAACTTGCCCGGCATTCGCAGTTCCCAAATCTCAACAAAACCACAAGCGTCGCTGCTCGAACTTTCTTGAGCAGGCCTGCTTGCGGCCGACGTTGCACCGCTGGCCAGCCCATCCGTTCCAGCCGCTTGCCGAAATCCACCTCACCTCCTCTGCAGGTCGCTCCAGCATGCCAGTCCAGCTGCCGTGTGGTGACAGAGCCATGACCTTGGAGTGCTTTATTGTCAGATCAGTGCACAGTACCGAAACACAAGCATCAGTCAGCTGGTTTTGGCTGGGCTCTCTAAGCAGGCGGAGGTGTGAACGGTGTGAGTGCAAATCTCGCGTGTTTTTTCCCCACCCGTGATCGGCAGCTTGAGCCTTGGGAGAGCGGCGGTCTCGGGTCTCCTCATTAAACCAAATCCACGCAATTCGGAGTTCCCAACTCTCGCTCAATACATGCCCGCTCAAGCAGTAGTTCGGAGTCGGCGCAGCAAAGAGGTTGGTTTGATCGAGACTGGGACTCACAGATGGCTGCACTGGGTCTGAGTTTTGGGCGCTCGAGATTGCAGCACCGTGCAGCAAATTGTCGATGGCACTGGGATCAAGACATGCTGCACACCGGACGTTACTGAATCAGGACGAAAGGTGCCAGACAGAGCACGACCCATGGCAACTCCATTTGTGGCAGTCGGCCTGCGCATGATGCAGCAGCAGATACAACTGCTGCTGTCCGCTCGAAGTCTGAGCTTTTCTGCAATAGCATCGCCACACGCCTCGAGTGGGACCGCGGGCAGCTCCGGAGATGCAGTGCGGGTGATCTCTTTCGCACCGCCTCGGTCGTGTGGAACTTGCGGGTCGTCCTTACCTCACCTGCGGTGGACGGTGTCCGCCGACTATCGTCGACTGCTTGGTGTGCGCGGATTCGCGATTGGACGCTCCGAGGTCGCTGCGGAGATCCGCCTGGCATCGATCGCGTCTGAGACGTTTTCGATTCAATGTGCGAGACCGGTTGCATTTCGCTGCCTTCCGCAACGCACCGAAAAGTGTCTAACCCTGCGCGATAGTGCAACTTGATGCACTGGAGTGAATGTACGAGCGACAGCAGCAGATATCGCAGCTGCTGTCCGCTCGAAGTCTGAAGCTTCTCTGAAATCCCACCTGGTGTTCACTCAATGCGAAACCTGCCGTGGCATGAACTCCCAGTGCCGGGAGATATTGGCTGCCGCTTTTGATAGGATGCAGGCATGAGCCATCTGGTGTTCTGGGTAGCAGGTCAATGTCATCAGAACTTTCTTGATTTCGGAAAAGGGACTCAGCAACGTGGAGCAACTGGAAGCTTTGAGCTCCACTGATTGGCGACTGCAGCAGAATCTCGTCTGTTGATCCTTTAACAGTCAGCCATGAACTGCAACACACGTGGTTTTCACATCTTCTAAGAAAAAATTCAACACCTCGTCGGTTGGATTCGAACCGCGGCTGATATCTCAGTGCTTCGCACGAGATGTAGGATCAGAGACTCAGGGAGGCCACATCAACGGGTCCTTCGCCTTGCTTAACCACATTTGCGGTGTTTTTCTTGTCCAGGGCGATGCGATACGTGTCGTTCGACATTTTGGGACATCAATGCTGTCTGGTCGATGCAAAATGGCAGACTGCACAATCTCAGGCTGGCATTACTTGAGAACGTCAGACGCATCAGTTGCTCGGCGTTTAAGCTTTTGTGTGCAACCTGCACTTTCGGTTTCGCCGCTTGCTTGATGTTTCTGAACAAATGCATACAGCACGAATCCAGTCGAAACCACCTTGCGTGCAGATTGGCCAGGTTCTTCACCACAGCCTCGGACTCATGCTCGAGCCACAGAGCCAGCATCGCCCTACAAGACTTATTCCCTGCTTATGCTGGAGATGATAGGTTCATTCTGCGAGCAGCCCTGCTACATCTCCAAAGTCACGGGTGCTCACAGAAGGCCCAATCAGCACATCCGTTGCAGGCGAGAATGTCCGCTCAGCATAGCCTAGGCGCTTCTGAAGTACCGGCGCAGATGCCGGCAAAGGAGGACACACACTCGTCGAAAGTTGGCATTTTTGAGTGACAGCAGCTTCAATATCTACTTCAGTACTGTCACACCTGGGTGGGACGTGATGTTAGTGTTGATGCATCGTTGACGCGACATGGTTACAGGCATTTGTCTCTGGGACGGTGGCAGAAGGCGTTCCGTCGGTTTTTCGTGCCCTGTACTTGTCTGCCAGGATCTGGTTCCAGGCCTGGACATCTGCAGAAGTGACGTGCCTCCAAAAGGATGACCAAATCATGTGAAGGTCGAGGAGGTCCGGCATTGAAGGTTTTGAGCCCAGAGAAGTGGCTCATAGGATGTCTTAATTGAGGAGTCTGGTGATACACATGACTCTTTGGATGCACCTGCACTGCAGGCATTGCTGCAACAGGCCAATTCCTGCCAGGGTGCCATCCCCGGCAGTGGGAGTGGTTACAGTGAGTTGTCCACGCTTACTTCGCGTTTGTGAAAGTAGCGCAATCCTGAAGTGGCGCAACTCAGTAGCCCCAAATGCTTTCAGTGAGCAGTTATGCCATGATTCCGTCTACGTGCAGCTGTGCGGCTGCAGAAGGGCTCTGCGCCTGCGCTTTCACCTCTTGTGTTCAACGGTTGATGAGGTCAGGTTTGAGTGAGCCACCAAATATGAAACATCCTTCACAGATGGGGCCTGCAGGCCTAACTGCACCTCCCTGCAATCTTGAGGCACCCACAAACGATGCTAATGTGTGGGTTTGGTTTGTTGTCCTTTGTTTAGCATGAACAGGCAGAGTGACTGCAGATGGTTAGAACTGTTAATGAGTTTGATATGTTTGGTGAATGTAGGCAGACAGACTGGCAATTGTTTCCATTGCCCCTTTCACGCACAATTTCTGCTATACACATCATACATTATTCGGGCCTTACACACTTTCGAGTTGGATCAGCGAGGGCTACTAGTATGTCAGGCAGGGTTTGGCCGGACCATGTCAATTGAACAATTGATCCGAAGTGTTTCCCATCAGGTGCCCGACATTTGTCGCTGCAGGACCGTGATGGGCCTGCAACAAAGACAAACATGTCAGACATATTTTGGTGCAAGTTTCGGTTGTTTTAGGAGAAACAAGCCTTGCAAAGGCACGCTTTGGCGTTCACCTGAGAATCAATGTAAACGACATGTCGTGCAGTGTTACTGTCATCCACACTGCAGGCTGCTTCAAGAAAAGCATCTGCGGCCAGTCGGGGGCTCTGTGGCCGTCCGAAGTGCGTTGATTTGGCGAAAAGAGTTTGCTTAGTATGCTGCCCTCTTGGAAGCCCCCCGTGTGGCTATGGGCATACGTTTATGTATGGGCATTTGTAGATGTAGGTGTGGGTGTACATGCTGATACAGCATACAGCATACACATATGCACATGTATATGTGCGTGTATGTGCGTGTAATTGTACATGTATTCGTACATGCTTATGTACTTATGTATGTGCCTGTATATGTGAATGTGCATGCATGTGTTTGTCTGCGTATGCGTGTCTATATGTCTGTACGTGTGTCCCTGTATGTTTATGTTTCTTTGTGCGTACGTGTGTAGATGTCACGGAAGCGTTGATGTCGATGGCTATGACACCAGTTCGAAGGTTTCAGGCGTCCTGAGTTTGAGATCAGCGGCGCCCCATCAGTCCAAGGCTTTATCCCCGGAGTTCAAGGTTTGTAAGAGTGCTGACTACAAAAAAGAGGCGCGACAGAGCCAGACACACAGCCAGACAGCCAGACAGAGACAGACAGACAGACAGAGAGACAGACAGACAGACAGACAGACAGACAGACAGACAGACAGAGAGACAGACAGACAGACAGAGAGACAGACAGACAGAGAGAGACAGACAGACAGACAGAGA